GTTTTCCTTCAACTTGGATCAGATAATGCATTTTGTAAATGCTTAGGAATAGATATAGTAGATAATTTGAAAGTAAAACAAGAGAAGACAGGAGACAAGGCATCATATGAAACAAAATGAGCAATGAGATGATTAGTAACACACGAACGAGTACCTTTTCGAAGAGTAATAGGTAAAGAGTCTAAATTACCTGATGTACCAGGATCAGAAGGCGGTGAGGAAGACGGTACGGGCACCTCCGGTGATGGGCGAGGACGGCGAGAGTAGACACGGAGAGGTAAAGTAGATGGTAACATAGTGGGTAACGAAATATCTGAAGATGAGGAAAGAGATGATACAGGAGGTGACCCAAAGTCCAGATCCAAAGGTTGAGAAGGTGTTGGAAAATGTGAAACAGATTCCTCAAATGTGACATTGACATTAGTAAAGTTTTGGCGCTGAGAAGGACTGTAGCAACGATACCCTTTTTGCATGTGGGAGTAACCAAGAAATATACATTTGGTAGCTCGAGGGTCAAGTTTGTCAAACTCAGGACTCAAATTGTGAACATAACAGTCACATCCAAAAACCTTAGGAGTTAGGAAAAATAAGGGCTTATTAGGAAAAAAACAGAATATGGACTTTGCTCATTTAACACAGAGGATGACATACAATTAATAAGGTGACAAGTAGTAAGAATAGTATCACTCCAAAAATATTGGAGAATATTCATCTGAAATAACAGGGCACGAGTGATTTCCAACAAATGATAGTTCTTGCGTTCAGTAATACCATTATGTGCAAAGGTGTAAGAATAAGAAGTCTGATGAATAATGCCAGTTTTACTAAGATAAACTGAAAAAGGATTAGATTTATATTCCCGAGCATTATCGGAACATAAAGTATGTATATAACAACCATGTTGAATTTTTATATCTTTACGAAAGGTCTCAAATATAGAAAATAATTCAGACCGAGCTTTCATAAAAAACAACCAAGTCACACGAGAATAGTCATCCACAAATTTCACAAAATAAAATATTTATTAGATGAAATATTCTTTATAAAACTCCATACATCAGAATGTACTAACTTAAATTAACTAGACACACGATTATTAACTCTAGATTGAAAAGACACACGGTGATGCTTACTAAGTTGACAAGCTTCACAAGACAAAGACGATACATAACTAAGACTGTGAACTTGATGTTTCAGATTTTGAAGAGAGGGATGTCCAAGACGACAATGCCATTAAAAAAGAGACAACGAGGTCTATAAAGTCTGGGTAGGTGAATCAAAGTCAAGGTAATATAAGTCATCAGCTTTATGCCTCGTACCAATCTTTCTCTTCTTCTTGAGATCCTAAAAGATACAATAAGAGAGATAAAAGGTTACGGAACAATTTAGAGAACGGGTAATTTTACTAATAGAAAGTAAACTAAAAGGAAACTGAGGAAAAATGTTACGGAACAATCAGAGAACGGGTAATCTTAATAATGGAAAGTAAATTAAAAGCAAACTGAGGAAAATAAGATGGAAGATAAGGACATATCAGGACTCAAGTGAGCAGTCCCCAGACCTAAAACTTTAGAATAAGTACCATTAGCAAGAATAGCACTACGTGTGGAAGTAACAGACTGATAAGTAGAAAAAATATTAGACGCACCGGTCATGTGGTCAGAAGCGCCAGAGTCTATAATCCCGGATAATAAACAAGTGGAAGCAATACCCGACTGGACAAAAGTAGCAGTGGAGGGAGATGGGACAGCCTGTTGCTGGGACAGAAACTGAGCATACTCCTCTCGTGTAATAGTAATCGACCCAGTATCTAGTAGAGTTGACTGAGGTATAGAAGCAATAATAGAGGTCAAAGATGGAGTAAGGGACTTGGTATCTTGCTTGAGTTCCGTAATAGTGTAGTAAATAACAAACAAGAAGTGTTGCAATGCTGAACCAGAGGAAAGGAGTATGCGCTGGATTGATGAACAGGAATAGAAACTAACTGAACCGGGTTGAATCGGAGTAGAAACCAACTGAACCGGGCTGAACTGGACTGCAGAAGTGTACTAGACTGTTGAACCGGATTGTAGAAGCTTATTGGACCTCTGAACCGGCCTGTAGAAACTCACTGCTACTTGTTAGAATACTGAATCGGGCAGGAAAAGCGGACTGAACCTGGTTGGAAAACTAGGCTGGACCATTGAATCAGGTTGGAAAACCAGGCTGGACCACTAAATCGGGTTGGAAAATTGGACTGGACCACTGAACTAGGTTGGAAAACTGGGCTAGACCACTGAACCAGACCAGTTGGGCTCTCTGGACCGCTGAATCGAAATGGCTAGGCTCTCTATACTATTGAACTGGTTTGAAGATGAACCAGGATTGATCCGGTCTAAGCTGAACCGTGGGCTAGACCAGGATTGGACTTAAAAAACAAATTTAAAAAAAATTGGGCTTGACCCAATCTGATCCATACCTGACTCCACGAGTTGGATCCCTTTTTCTTCGCTTAGTAGGGTTCTAAGAGAACCCTCTAGTCTTCGACAACTCCACACACCACACGCCGAAGACTACAACAACACCTCCTCAACCACCATAACCACCACAACCACACCACTATCACGAAGGATGCGACTCGACGGTGAACAGAGGCCACACCACCACCACCAATGATTACAACCACCACGAATAACGCAGGGACCACCATAACAACACAACCACCACGAACAACGCAGGGACAATGAACAGAGCCCACACCAGTGTTAATATATTTAAGATCGTTTATGCTCTGATATCATGTTAAGTTTGGAAGATTAACATAATATTAGAGACAATATTTAGGAAGAAACAGAGAGGTTAAAAATTTAAACTAGCTCTCATACATCATTTGTATTTATAATTAACTCACAATAATAAGAATTATACATACATTCTCTTATTATTAACAATTTACACATACTACCCTACTATTCTTGATATTCATCAACACAGATTAGAAGGACTGTTCTCTAGAAGGAGCCATGACAAATAGGTGGCTGTAAGTAAAAGGTGTTATCGGCTAGCGGGATGGAGAACTCTGAGAAATAAGCACAAAGCCATAGTTGCAGCACTCAGAAAGGACCCGAATCTTTTGCATCTTTGATGCCACCATCTCCACATCCTATGATAGAGGTGGGCAAGCATGACAAGAGCAAGAGCATAGGAAGCTCCTATGGTCAGATAGATGGCCAGCGGAATATACTCTTTGGTCACTTTGTAAGATAAAGTGTAGAAAAAAGTACTAGTTAAGCCAGAAAAACATGAATAAATATGTTCTTGACCTGACACTAGAGAGTAATCATTGCCACGATAGATTGCAATGAAAAGAAAATAGGTAGTGTTGGCTTGTTATGTATGTCAAGTGGAAATGTATAGCTCGCTTTAGTATGTGTAAACAGAGCGTTAGGGCCGAGAAGAGTAAGCATATCATAGATCGTGGAGCTGATCATACCAAAATGGAAGTGAAAGACATTATTCGCCATAGACCAAAATAGGAGAGCGAAGTTGAGCAGCGGCTTGTCAATAGGCATCATGATAATGCTAAATTTTTTAGCAGCATAAATGCTAAAGCGATGCCATAGAGTACCTTGGCTGCCTTAACATGAGTAACCCAAGACATCTAATCGAGAGTGGGGGATTTCCATGCACGGCTGGGTTACCACTGAACCAGTTTGTCCATTGGAGAGGCTCATGGAAGTCGAAAGGTAGAGACATATGAGAGTTAGGGTAAATGCGCTGAACCTTGTCTGGAGGCATTTCTTTGAAGGTTGGTCCAAGGGCCATATCTGGTGAAGAAAAATCAGAGTGAGTTAAAAGTACGAAAAGTGTATTGCATAGCTTGCACTTTTAAAAGAGTCGCTTCAAAAGCAACACTACGAGGAGCCTCTATTTGAATAAAAAGAGAAGGTCAGAATAATGACAAAGTAGCATATCTGGGGACAGATTATATAGGTGCAAAGTATAGACTGAAACAATGATGAAAAGATATGAATAGATGGCATGCCAGTTGTTTCTTACAGATCTAAAAAGGCGATGGATAGACGGAAAAACTACACTTGGAACTTTAGTTGCAATTCCCGAGCTTCGCGGCCAATGGCAGTATGATAGCTAAATAGGGTAAGTGTAGCGACAAAAGGTTAAATTTAAAGAGCCAAAATGACACCCCAAATATGGAGTATTCAGTGACATCATTTTGGGGAGTCAATGTTAACACTCAAAAGAAGCAAAATCAGATGGTAGCATGTGAAGGGGATCCGACGGTCATAAATAAATCTGTGAGAGTTCACGATTGATAGTATGATTAGAGAAATGGGGCTCTTAGAATCCCAGGAAACAATGAAACGTGATATTATAAGCCGTTAGTTGGAGACGGTTCAACATACATCCACGCATCTTGAGGGATGAGACCATGATCACAGTAATGGCCAGAAAAGATGGGTTGACTGTTGAAGAGCATTTCTATAAATAGCAGAGGCTAGACCACTGAGAAAGGATCCACGAGTAAACAAACTCTTCCCAGAGCCAGTTTACTTTATTCTTATTTCTTGCTTCTGAGCAATTTTACTTTTGTTGTAATTATTATTCTGGTGATCTTTTACTGCTTTCATTTAATGTTAAGTCAACACGTTTCGTCTTCCAGATTTGGATTTACTTTACTTGCTATTTTTCATTCTCGATGTTCTCTTTACGGTGTAGTCCATTACACTTTTATTTGAAAAATCATTCAAAGTACTTGAACCATAAGACATAGAAAAGAACATAGACATAGTTTTATGTCTCGTTACAATCGTCTAAACAGTTACGATTTTAGAATCTCACGTTGGTTCGAGTAAGTAAGGTTGTATGTGTTTGGATTTTAAATTAAATCAAACTTTGATGCGTCCGCAATCCGAAAATATGCCAAATGGTTATTAACTCTTTCCAATGTGCATATTTGTTCATGTATTCAATTTAATCCATGCTATCAAATTTACATTCAGGTTCGTGAAGAAGAAATTTGAGGAGTTGTATTTTCAAAGCACTGCCCCTGATCGCGTTGACCGGGTCTTTAAAATATACAGAACCACTGCACTTGATCAGAAGCTAGTGAAGAAGACTTTCAAACTCGTTGATGAGACTTTGAGGAGAAGAAACCTCTTTGAAGCAGGCTTGTTGTGACCACCGAGCAATTTTTTGGGAAAAATGTCAATATTTTTAAATGAAGTATCCGAATTTTCAACAGCAAAGTTGGAACTCTCAAAAATGGATGACTGGCATATCATATTCTACGGGTTAAAAGTTCTAGATTCCCCTCATGTTAGCATTCTATAGGAGCTTGATTTGATTTTATTTTTTTAAATTCCCTATTGTCGTATTATTATTACCTTATAAGCTCCTCATGAAGTTTTTGTTCTTTCCCTAGTTCCCAACACCCGTCCCCTTACCCTTTTTGTTCTTTATTTCAATTTGTATCCCTTCTCATTAGGGATGAAAACCAATACACATTACAAAATGATACGCTCCTGCAGTTTATTGTTGTGATTATTCCTCTCAAGCTTTACATTTACATTTGATTTCTATAGGTGGTGCAATTGGGCTATTTTTCCTTCTACTCCGGAAATGTCGGTTACTATCTTTACAACTGAGCAGATTGATCAAAATGTTTTCATTCAATGTAAATATAAGGGCCTCGATTTGATTTGCCCTCTATCAAAATTTGGTTAATTTTGAAGTTATGTATATGACCTGACTCATGTTGTTGGTCGGGTAGATATTGAGAAAATAGCAATGTTATTGCGATTTAATTTATTGATTTAATTTATTGACCTAATTCATTATGACCTTTGGATTGTTTGTGAGTTTCATCAAACATTGAAACTTGGTGTTAATATAATATTTTTAATAAAGTCATATCATTAGATCAGCAAATGAAATTAGATTTTTAACTTCAAATAGTATTATTCTTGAGAAAAATGAAGCAATGCTATGATGTGGGATTTAAAATGAATAACAATTAATTGGTAACTATGAATTGGTTTTGACCCATTTTTTTTTTAAAGGGAAAAACACAATGTCTAACCTAAGTTGATTAGTCAAAATGTCTCTTTTGCTCTTGTTTTATATTAGTCAGTGTAAACGTGTGTTGCACGTGTATTATTTTGAGTATGAAAATGTTGTATTTTGAAGATGTCAACCACTTCTCTAAAATGCAAATCGTAATGATCATTGGTGATTAGCCAATTCACGAATGAAAACTTAAAAATTCAAGCTCAATTAATTTTAATAAAATTTTTGGTGCGAATACAATGTTCTCCATTTATCTTTGTAACTCATGTTTTTGTAGTTTATCCTCTTTTTGTTTGCCTGACTTTGAGTTATTTGCAATATAATAAAGTAGCAAAAATGAAATAACAGAACCAATATCAATCAAGCATATAATTTGTGATGATCAATTTTTTTATATAAAGAATAAAATATTTTTAAAGCACACTGCAAGACAATGTTTTACATCCTAAAACTTAATAATTAGTGATAAGCGAAGCTATAAACATTCCTCATCTAAAATAGAGAAAACAAATTATGGATCTAAACCTATAAAAAGAACGCATGTTTCTTAGCATAAATAATGTCAACGCATAAGTTCATTGATGATTAACCCCTTGTTTAGTTACCCTAAGCATGTAAAAGCTGCAACTCCATTTTGACTGCCTTTCCACGGTCAACAATAAGATCTAAAAAGTAGGTTTTTAAAGATCATAATTTTCACTCCCAAAAACTTCTGCTAACATGAAGTACATTATAGGATTTAAATTATGATCAATTGGAGCTTGAATATAGATGGAGAATAAATCTCATGTGCATTTCATAATTTTAATAACCCATTTGGCCGATTACAGTAATTTGCTATAAGGTTTATGAGGTATTGCTTGTTTTATGTAATTGGTTGTGTCATACAATTTCTTTCGTTCATATCTTCTTCATAAAAAAATCTTACTAATGCAGGACAGTCTATGCTTTTCCAAAAGTAGCATAATGTGTAAGTCAAAAGGAGTATATTAGTACAAAAGCCTCATAGAAAAAATTAAAAATAAATCATCACATCTATACTGCCAATTTTCTTAACAAGAAAGTGCGATTGTCCCAAACAAAAAAAAATACACATGTTAGGGAAAAAATAAAGTTAGCAGGCACAATTAATCTTCAGGTGAGAAATTACTCTATTGTAATAACTCTCAATCCTCAATGATCAACGTCACTCTTACATTTCATCCAAGCTAATATGTTCTGGTAAAACAATTGAAACCTTCAGATTAAAGATTTGACAAATATCACACTCGCCAAGAGTTCAATAGAAAAACTCAATGTGTTCCTAATAAATAACATATGATTTTAGCAGCTCATTGAAGTGTGAAAAAAAAAAAAACAGGACCATCATATCATTTAGAAGCAGTGGCTATTAAAAAAAAAAGTTCTTTTAAACTTCACTAAAATACACTTCTAGCAAGATCACGATGAAATATTATACTTATTTGTACAATCTCTTTGCTATTTTCTTCCAAGTCATTTTTGTTCCCATTAAGTGTCAGAATCATGCTAGGATCACTGACAACCACAAAATGATCAAATAGACAGATGTAATAAAAAGTTGAGAGGATCGTTCCAGCACATGAGAGGATCGTTCCAGCACATGTTTAATTGCTGTTCAAGTACTCGAAAAATTAGATTTACTTAATAATAGTGTTCAAAGATAGAAATGGAATTTATTGGACTAATAATGATAAAATTGACTTCATAGCTAGGAAATCAAAATTTTTTCAAGGTATAGAAGATGAAAGGACTAACATTATGAATAAATAATATTTTATAGTAGTATAAATATAAAAATAAATATAGATTCATTAAAAAAAAATGAGTGGTAAGAAGAAAAAGAGAAACATATAAAAGGTCACTTAATAAATAAATGTATTTTATAATGAACAACATTTATGTTATACTTATTTAGATACATGGTATTTTGGATATTCAAGAAATGCTAGAAGGTAAAAGAGTGAAACAAAAGTTTTTTCATTATGTGTACATTTAGAAGTAGTATAGATTATTTATGTGTTCGGTTTTCTATTAGTGATGATGTACAAAATAGGTTTATGTACAATTAACAGTCGGGTGTATGATTCAGAATAATTAATGAAACAATCAATAAAACAATTAATGACGGAACACAAAGATTAGGTCAGCAGGCCACACAGAGATATTTAGTGGTTCGGTCAGAGTGACCTACTCCACTTCGAAGGCGGCCACGGTAGCCAGAGAATTTTATTGATAAAGTAAGGTGTGAGAGAGAGAAAAAGTAAGCCCTGAGAAAGGTTGGGTAGGTATGAGAAAGATAGTTGTGTAAATGGTGTGTAGAGAGATGCTCGTCTCATGTGGAGAGAACTTATAATTTATAGGCACAGAGTATTAGTTGAGGCAGTGGCGTGATGTGATAGGTGACTAGTTACTTGATCTGAAATATGTACACCCAAGTGCAGGCAGTCAAGTTGTAGTAATAATCCGGTTGAATCCGGAGTCGAATCCACAGGGAACTATGATTGGTGTTTTGAAGTAAGTAATAATAGAGACCAACTGACTGAAAATTTTGAGAGTTTGGAGTGGTGGGATTTCTTGAATAGAATATAAGATTCTTTTCAAGAGTTTTCTAGACAAAATATAAGATAAATTCAAATGTAAAACAGTTACCCTTTAGCTTGAGGATCAGAACATGTGGTTAATCATCCGGTTTATTATACTTGTGTTTTATAACTCAATTAACTCTCGTGTCAACAACAAGTTAATCGGAAGATAAAGATGGACTGTGAGAATTAAGCACATGATTCTGATGCTTTTCTAGCAGTGGACAAGAATTGCCTGTGCCAAGATTTAACCCATCTACGAACAAGCAAGCATTTCTACAAGACATCCAACCATGGCATTAATGTTCTATTCTTTAGATAAAGCACGATAATAGTGAAGATTGAAATGTATCATGCAGATATCGCCTAGGTACTTGCCTTGAACCAATAGGTTTTTCCATGCAAGAGTCATCCGTGACTTAGAAAGAACCTATGGTTAGACAAAGTACCTTAGCTTTGCTAGATACATTCAACCATTCAATGAACAAGTGAAATATAAAGCATTAAAGCATAAATGGATTACACAAATATAACTCCCGGATAATTTCTACATATTCATCACCTTACTAAAGAGTGAATGAGGAACTACTCACTCTTCATGGCTTGGATAAAGCTTGAAAAGTGAGTGATGCTCATCTTTCCAAGTAGAGAACTTACAAAGTAAAGTACAATAAACGAGGAGCCAATCTTCACCAAAGAATAAGTGAATCACGTTCCACCCTTCACGGCTTTGGTAAAACTCTAGAAAAGTGGAAGAGTTTCACTCTTCTAAGGAAGAAGGAAGCTCAAGCAATGGAAGTGAAATAAAGTGGAAGAAAGTTAGTTACTTTTGGAGGGTTTCCACCATAACCAAAAGATGATCTATCTCTCTTGATGCTTGTAAATAAAAGCAAGTACAACTACTAGGGGAGTCTAAGCCACAATCATGGTTGTCACAACATGAATGGAAAGACTTAGCACAAGTAAATAAAAGACTTCAACTAAAAGGGGAGTCTAAGCTTCTATCATGGTTGATACAAATGCAAAATAAAAACATAAACAAGAAATGTACAAGAACTAGCTCTCTACCCTACTTTTTGAGAGAAAAGGATTCTCCTCATGAAGCTTCCACAATGGGGGTATTTATAGGCAAAGAAAAGGAGGAAGGGGGGGGGGGGGTGAAGGAATAGTGTTTGCCGCCTAAGTGCAAGTGAAAAGCCAACAACTCTGCAGCTAGTCAGTGGGACGTTCGAATGTGATCTGTCGTTCGAAAGTTGTGTCTGTTTTTGCTTTAAGGGTGTTTGAACGTGGAGTGGCATTCAAACGTTATCTCTGTCTTTCCTTTAAGGGCGTTCGAACGCCATATAGGGTCTGAACCCCCTACTCAAGTGGCCTGTGGTCTCTGTGATGGTTACTACCAGACGTCTTGAACAACTCTGGCTCTGCACTTAGCAACTTGGACCTCAGTAACTCATGACAATGTTCGAACATGGAGTGGCATTCGAACGTTGTACTCAAGTACTTCTGTGGTTCTGCGGTCTTTGTTGCAACACTCTAGCAGGTCTGAGTAGTCTAATCTTCTCTGGTTTCCAGAGCACGTTCGAACGTGGTACTCAAGTACCTCAACATTTTTCCTTTTTGACTGCAACACATCATGTCTCAGAAGCCTGGTCCTTAATTATTTCAGGGGAATGTTCGAACATTGATCCATGTTCGAATGTTCTTGCTTTGTGCCAAGCTATTCCAATTTTGCCCCTTTATCCACTGGTGTTACATCCAAGTGTGATATTTGTTGTCCTTGAGCTCTTGTTCACTTTAAGACCTGAAATGTCATTACTTAAACTCCCTCAAAGCACAATTTGTCCCAAAAAGGAATAGTAAAATGCTAACTTTAAGTACTAATCACACCCCCTAACCTAAATATTGCTAGT